CGGGAGCTCAGCCGGTGGCTGAGCCCCTTTGAGCTGTAACACAGCCGCGCCATTGCCATGACTTGCTCTTCCTGTGAACAGGCTTGGCTTGTTCCGTCGTAGTATTTATGCTGGGTTTTTATTTCCCTTCCTTCCTTCCCCTTCCTCCCTCCCTTCCCCTTCCTTCTCCTTCCTCCCTCCCCTCCCCTTCCTTCTCCTTCCTTCCTCCCCTCCCCTTCCTCCCCCCTTTCCCCCTTTCCCTTCCTTCCTTCCATCCATGCTTTTTTCTCTCATATTGCTTGCACTCTTCTTCAATGTGTTATTTCCCAACTTAATGTCAAACGATTTCTTTCTGTTTGTGGTGTTGGTGGTTAGCTCGTCTGGTGGTGGTGGTGGTGATGGTTTGGAAGATGATGAGAAGCACTTAATTATAGGCGCTGCGCGTGGTAGTGGTGGTTGTGAGATGGCAGTTTGCATGAACGTCCCTTCTTACAAACTTTTTTGATGTCAGATGAGGACAAGGAAGGGAGCGGGCAGGGATGGCGAGTAGCTCTAAGGAAGGAAATGTCAAGTGAATAACGCACAGATGAAAAAGCAAAGCAAGTGCGGTTGTCCCTAAGAGAGGGGTATTTTCCCATTCCCTGTCTGACTTGTCTGAATACAGATAGAGATGTAATTCAAGTGGATTTCAGACTTTTCTAAAGATGAGGCTGAAGTCAGTGGGCATTTTGCACAAATCCCAGCAGGCAAGAAAGCCTCCTATAACAAATCTTGATGTACTGGACATGTGACAACACCTGTTATTATGAACTTTTTTTCCCTCTTGATTGTTTTTACATGGCTTATTAGTATCGGGGAATGTGGGAGGGAAGATTTTTCTGCTTATGAACTAGGATAGAAGTCCACTAACTGTAAATCCTTTGAAATCAGATCGAAACCTTGCATGAAGAGCTCTACCCATGCGTGAAGTTAAAGCAGGACAGTTGTTTGGCTAAAGGCTTAGATTTATTCCCTCAGTCAGAAAGGAACCTATTTTATTTCAGATTTGTAGTTTTCTAAGAAAATCCTCCCAAATATAAATAACATAAAAGGCAACATGAAAAAAAATTGGCAGGTGTCTAAAAGTTACAACTTCATTTATTTTTTTACATATTTTACTTATTAAAAAAATAATTTACTGATACTTAAGTAATTCTAAGATGCTACTTTATGGTGCAAAAGAAACTTGATTTTTATGTTCTTTGACCATACAAAACCAGTGATAGTCCTAATAAAAAAAAGCATTCAGACTGCTTATTTTAGTTTATGAATTTTAACTATAGAGTAGAATAAAACGTATGTAACTGTGAAATAGGTAGTATGTGCAGGAGATGTGGTAACTCTGGTATTACCACAGAGACGACATCTTCTGGTGTATACTTTGCGAGTGGCATGTTGTGTCACTATCATCATCAGTGTTCTGCTTGTAAATAACATGTAGGCAGAGACTGGCTTTTAGCTGTTTGAAAATTCTGTGGTGCGCTTTACTTACACAAATGTACACTTTCTAAAATTTTTGCAGCTAACTTTTCTGAGCAAGTAGTGGAAAGCTTTCCATCTGATATCTCTACTGGTATATACTATGGATGGGCCTGTGTTGGAAATGGAGATGTGCATAAAATGGTTTTGAGCATAGGATGGAATCCTTTCTATAAGAATATTAAGAAATCAGTGGTAAGAATTTTGCTTTGTGTGGTACTTTAATTATAGTAAATGAGCCAGACATTGAATTTGAATAAGATAAGCAGAATTTGATCCATAAATGAGATTAGAAATTCCATTTGCTGTTAGAAATGTGTTTGGTATCCATCCCATATGTTTGTATTCTGGGGAGGAAAAAAAAAATAACCCCAAAACACCCCCCAGTAGCCATCGAACATGCAGCTGTAGATAAATAAAATTTATTTTCATTTTCCTCTTCCACCATTACTTAAATACTTCTAAAATCAAAATTCATATTTCCAAAGTGGTTGTTGCTTATTGTGCTTATAGCTAGATAAACATAACCGCTAAACTGAATACATCTGTTAATCTTATGAGACCTCTAAAATGAGCTGGAACATACTCATCTCTCATCTTTTGTAATCCGTTCACATTTAAAGCATGAGATTCTGGGGCATCTTAATTTGTAATGGTTTTTCAGTAATTCTTCTCTTAAATGGTGGAATCCATTCATGTGGGGCTGTGGCTTAACATACAGAATCAAGATCAAAAAATAAATAATAACAGGACAGAGTTAAAATCCTCAACTGTGGCATCTATGTTTTTCTTGCTGTCAGGTGCTGATGCTTATTCCTGACACTTGCAGAACCTGGTTTTAATTGCTAATACTTGGAAGCAGTTTTATTTTGACATGAATCCCTGCTTTGAAGGTAGCTGCCTTCATTCTTCTTAGAATTTTATAATTCAATTCCTGCGAGTTACTTGTAAAAGCTCCCTTTAAAACAACTGTTTCAGTCAAATTCATTACAGTTATTTGGACTCAGCAATTTAACGATCAAAGAAATCTAGACATTATTTGTGATTTGCTGCCTTGAAAATCTTACCTGTGAAATAAATATCACAATATTCTTAAATGCCATGCAAAGTACAATTCCCCCTATTAAAGTAATCAGAAGCTGTAGCCTCTTAATCTTGCATTATGCATGTTCGACTAAGCGTCTCCATTTTCCTGATATGTGTGGGAGAGAGTTAATTAAAGGTATTATCTAAACATCCTGGCAACAAGGGAAATAAACTCAAAATGCGTCATGATAATTGTCAATGTATTTCTCTTTTTTTCTTTTTCTTTTTTTGTTTTGTTTTAGGAAACGCACATAATTCACTCTTTCAAAGATGACTTTTATGGAGAGATTCTTAGCATAGTCATTATTGGATATATTCGGTCAGAAAAAAGCTTCAGTTCTTTAGGTCAGTATTGCAGGTCTCTTAAACTAATGTTTTATTTGTCATGTTCTCGTATATTGAAAGTATTGTGTCATTGTTCTCTTTCTGTCTTCATAATCAGTTGTTTCATGTAGGGTAGCTGTTTCTCATAATCAGCTGTTTCATGTAGCCGTTTCTCAAGGGTAGAGAGGCCTTCCAGAGAGCTGGGTAATCGCCAACCATATGAAATTTAACAAGCGCAAGTGATGGATTCTCCACCTGAGATGGCATAATCTTGATTGTATATACAAATTGGGGGATGAGGGGCTGGAAAGCAACCCTGCAGAAAGAGATCTGGGGGGTTGGGTTGGTGGCAACTTCAATATGAGTAAACAGTGTGTCCTGGCAGCCAAAAGGGCCAACCGTGTCCTGGGGTACATCCAGCATGGCGTTGCTAGCTGGTGGAGGAGGGTGACAGTCCCACTCTACACTGCACTGGTGTGGCCCCACCTCAACAACTCTGTGTAGTTTTGGGCACCTCAGTATAACAAGGGCTATTAGAGTGTGTCCAGAGGAGTGTGACCAAGGCTTCGAGGGCAAGACTTAAAAGGCACAGCTGAGGTCACTTGGTCTGTTCAGCTTGGAGAAGAGAGGGCTGAGGGGTGCCCTTATTGCAGTCTACAGCTTCCTCAAGGCGGGCAGCGGAGGGGGTAGGTGTTGATCTCCTCTCTCTGGTGACCAGTGATAGGACATAAGGCAGCAGAATGAAGCTGCATCAGGGGAAGTTCGGATTGGACATCAGGAAAAGGTTCTTCACTGAGAAGGCGGTTGTTTACTGGAACAGGCTTTCCAGGGAAGTGGTGATGGCATCAAGCCTCTCAGCATTCAAGGAGCATCTGAACAACGCTCTTAGTCATATGCTCCTGCGAGAAGCAGGAAGTTGGACTTGATGATCCTTATGAGTCCCTTCCAACTCAAGATAGTCTATGATTCTATGTCTTACCTTTGACTTCTTGGTAAAATGTGTTTTTTTTAAGCTGAATCTACTAATACATAAGTTAGTCATATTAACGAAAATCAAAACCCCACCACATCCACACTCAGTACTTATTTGTTTCAGTTTAAAAATTGTATTGTCATGCCAGTTGTCTGAGGAGTGGCTTGAAAATCACAAGCTTGTTGTAGAACCATTGGTCTAGTCTGTCCATTTCTTTTAAAATGCATCTGTGTTAAAACTGAAACAGTTAATGAAATTCTGTTGACTTTTTTGAGAAAATGTCTTGGAACAAGGAAAAAGTAGTGATTACAGCAATGAAAGTGCAATGCATGTCAAATCATGTAATTTTAGAAACAGAATGTTGCCTTTCCAGTTTCATCATTATAAATATATTCTGCCTTTGTGATTGTTTTCTGGTGTTCTGTAATACACTTTTTCACTTCTTGTGTGTTCAGACAAACTTTTAAATACTGCTTTTCTTTGCTTTTGCAGAGGCACTCATTTCTGCAATTCAAGAAGACATTGAAGAGGCAAAAAGACAGCTGGATTTACCAGAACATCTTAGACTCAAAGAAGACAACTTCTTTCATCTGCAGAAAGCAAAACAGTAAACCACTAAGCAAAACCATGTGCATTTTTTCATGTCATGGAGCTCTTTTCTTTGCACTACCATGTATCATGCATCACTTGATATATGACGTATGCGTGTGTCTGGCTGGGATGGAGTTAATTTTCTTCATAGCAGCTCATATGGTGCTGTGTTTTAGATTTGTGACAAAAACAATGAACATAACACACTAATGTTTTAGCTATTCCTGAACAGTGCTTGTGCAGCAACAAGGCCTTCTCTGTTTCTTGCTCTGCTCTGCCAGTGAATAGACTGGGGCTGCGCGAGGGGTTGGGAGGGAACACAGCCACACAGATGAGCTGAACTAACGAGATATTACATGCCATATAATGGTCGTGCTGAGCAATAAAATGGAGAGGAGGGGGTTTAGGGAGATCGGCCCTCTTTTGTTTGGGAACTGTCTGGGCATTGGTCCACCCATGGGAGGTGGTGAGTGATTGCCTTTGCATCACTTGTTTTGTTTGCTTTTTTAATTCTTTCATTTCTTCTTTGGTTGGTGATCTATTTTTGTCTTGACCCACAAATTTTCTTGCTTTTATTCTTCCGTTCTTCTTTCTGTGTCCCACTGGAGGGGTGTGGGGGAAGTGGCTGTATGGTGCCTAGCAGGGTTATCCTGCAACAACACATTTAGGTAATTGCGATTGGAACTAAACACTAAAGCCACACAAGATGATTTAAGTTTGTTTGTATTACTTGATCATTTAACCAGTCATGCAAAAGAAGTAGAAAGCTATTTTAGGTCTTTACAGACAAGCTGTGAATCCAAATGTTGCCAGTTATTAGAGATCTTAGCATGTGTGGAACAAGACCAAAGTTAGTTGGGACCTCTTCTACCCCTAAGGTGTCAGCAGTTAAATACTTCAGTGAAGACTGTCAGGTTTTCGGGCAAAGAATGTTATTCCAAACAGTTTTCCCGATTTTATGTCATTCTTGCATTTGGATTGTAGGGAGTAGCTTAGTAAATTTTGATACCGATTGAGTCAAAAATTTGCCTATGGTGCAAGAAACCAATGATTAGATAACAGTAACAACAATAATTCACTATAGTTCCTATTTTTGATACGCTGTACAGCTGTTGTGGTTGTAGGTGTCATTTTAACTGAAATTATTGTAATTTTAATTGAAATAGAGGAAATGACTGTTACTCATGGAGTTACTGAAATGTGGGATTGATACTTCTGGTTGACTGTGCATATGACAGCTCATAGTCTGTGGTTGCCTTCTGAGGAAGTGTTTCACTAAAGTTCAGGAAGTGACTGTCGGGGGAAAGTTGGTACACTGCAAAAGTTCAGGCTTAAAGGGTGCAGGACTAGTGTAACTGTATTTCTGCTCTTTGGGCTGTAAGGCAGAGGAGGTAACTAAAGGCAGCTGTATTTTGTTTGCTGCTGGCAGTGGCCTTAGATGAGGAAAACTTCTGGGTTGTTCGCTATACTGACAGCAGAATGAATGACTTAAAGGTTGAAGTTAGAATGTGAGACACAGGAAAATCCTTTCAACCCTCTGCACTAAGTGCAGGTAAGATCAAAACTTCTGGCTGCAGATGAGTGAGTGAGTGTCTTTGGGGAATCTTGGAATAATGTGTCAGCATTTTAGTAGATATTGAGTATTTATTACAAGTTATTGAGGCCTTTCCCACTCTGAAATATTTGCACAGATAAATGGAGGGTGTATTGTCAAAATTGATAGTAATTTTGAAAATATTTGTTAAAATTGTATAGTATGTATGTATAGGTAGTGTGTGTGCTTCCAAATCTACTCCCCCCACCTGAATAAATTTTATTAATTTCCTTCTTGTCCCATCCCATTCTGATCCTACATTTCACTCTAGTGTTTCAGAGAGCTCCGTCGAGGTACCCTTATGGGAATTCTCTGTGGTGTGTGCTCTCAGCTGGCCAGGGTTCTAGTTCATAATGTTTTAACTTGCAGCCAGTCTCATGGGCTATTTGGTAAAAGGCTGTCAAGAAGTCCTTGTAGCTGTGCAGGACTTCAGCCAAAACTCGATTATTCAGATGAATTGCTCATCAGTCCTGTTGATGGCAAAGATAGATGGGATATACATCTCTCAAGGGAGGAAAAAAATTATTTCTATAGAAGCACATATTAGAACAAGCCCTTTGACCTATGTTACTAATGTTATTTATAAATGTAACTCTCCAAAGACACCGACAGTTTTGTTGTAACTTGCCTGGATGTTTTCAGCACACTTTGGCCTTCCTAGTAGGAAAATAATAAAAGAAAATGAACTTACCTGCCGTCAGAAGTACTTTCTTTAAAAAACAAAAAAATATACCCCAGACCAAAACCAGTTTAATGGGCTTTTACTGTATGCATGTTGGAAATCTCTACAAGAATTTTCTTGAAAGTGATTTGGTTTTTTTTCCACTTCAAAATTGAGGGATGATAGGAGAATTTTTTTCAAATTTTTTCAGGGAGGTGTTCCTGAGTAAACAACAATGTCAAGGTGTCTTGTTTTATATTTTACTTTTTCTGGAAGAACAAACAATAGCCATGCGAGTCAATGCAATATATTGTCAAGAATATATTTTAAAATAAATCTCTGTTGTGGTATTACAACTAAGCTCATAGCTACCTTTTAAAATTATTTTTTTGCCAGTGATTTCATGTGTTTGTTGGGGAAGTCATAGTGCCTTAAACTGGTTGCCTGGGTAACGCTATGCTGTAACTGGTAATGAATACTACTATCCAAAATTAATTTCATTGTTTGGTTTTAAAACCACTGTGCTTGAGGATAGAGAACAGTAGCAAAAGGAAAACTTCAGAAACTTAGTCTGCTCACAACTGTCACCTGGAGTGTGAAGTATGTATACAGTAAAGTAATAAACTGCTCTTTGCACATTTGCCTTCCAGTTAGAGAAAATGTAATTGCATTAGTTTGGCTAAGTGTACCTATCTCTGTGCATTATTTAAGATAAATTATTGTGTACTGATTTTTAAGTTCAATACATGATTCCTAGCAGAGTATAAACTTTATGAAGGATTATATTTTTGTGTTATGTGCAAATAAATATTGTAATTTATGTTGTGACACTGTACCATTAATAAAAGAATGTAGTTGAGAAAGTAATGATGCTGCTTATCACATTTTTTTTCTGATTGTATTCTGATAGTATTAGATGCGATGCAGATCATCTGTGGATATTCCCTACCATAAACTGAAACAGGTGCTGCACAGTTCTTTCCTTATGGTGCATAAACTTCTTTCAGTTTTGGGGGGTGGGGGGAAGGAGAATTGCTGTTCTTGCTTACAAACTTCGTGTTACATTATGTTCCAAATGTTTGCAGTTCTTTATTTGTAAGGCAATATGTCAACAGCACGTGAGGCATAAAGGTCATTGAAATTGTTGGAGTTCAAGCTATGTAGGTGTTTCCGCAGTATCAAATACTTTCTAAATAACGCTGTGGTGCATTTTAATTGACTGTCTCTAAGTCTATTACTGTTCTGAAATGGAATTTGCTGACAATGTGAGAATAACAGTATAAGAATTTTTTTTTTTTCAAATGCTTATATGTCTTTTTTGGGTAGCTGTGGCATGAAACTATCTAATATTCTAGTAGCCTATAGAACTTGTGCTTAGCAGATATTAAAGTGCAGCATGCTTTCACGTTAAGAAAATCTAAAGGCCCAGTGTGTACAGACAATAGTACAGACAATAGCAACAGGCTCCCTGTATGGCTAGCTGTGTTTTGAATTTGGAGCCTTCCTAGAAACCAATATGGAACCTGTATTCAGTTGGTATCCTTTTTACTTTAGGACAGATTCCCTAGGTAATGTTCTTGAAATGTACCTGAAAAAGTAATCTAGCCCACTAAAATTTGAAAATGAATTAAAAAATACTGATTTTTTTTTTAAATATACTTACATATCTATAAAATTAATTAGTTATCATGTTAAAATCATTACTGATGTGAATATATTTTCATTTATTTTCAATAACTTACATATTGTGGACATGGACACTGTAAAACATATTTTTCCAAATGAATACAGTGAATTAAAATGCTGGAAAGTGTCAGTAGCATTTCTACTAAAGAGTGGCACTAGTGTGAGGTCTAGTTTACTGGAAACTGGATGAGTGGAAATAGTAAAGAAAGAGGTGCAAGGGGAAGGAAGCAAAAACCAGAAGGACCTTGGGATGGAAAAAAGCTTGAGAAGCAAGAGGGTGAGAAAAATTTGCCAAAGGTAACTAGTTCACTGAGATTTTTGCAACCACATTTGCCACATCTTTGTTCAGAGGTGGTACTGAGCCAAAGGAGATACTTACTGCTTTGACTAGTTGCAGATGTGTATCTTACAACTGTGGCTAAATACAATAATCACAAAGCTGCAGCAGGTGAACTTTGAAAGTTTGCTTTGAAAGACTTTGTACTGTTTTGATATCTTTGATACCTTAATGCTTTAATAAGTTTAGTATCCTTCTTAGAAAGCTGTTTCTAAATTGCTGTGTAGAGCTAACAGCTGGTATCCTTTTTAATTCTTACTCTGCCTTAGACTTCTAGAAATTCTTAGGAATATTTTATTCAGTTTGTAATCTGTGAGAATCGCTGCTTTGTTAAATAATAGCAAGGGTTATAACCAGTGTTGCTGTGCAGTGAGTCCTTGTGTCTAAGGAGGCTTCTGGCAATGATTTGGTTCCTAGGGTGCTTTCCTTTGCTGTGCCTAGCACAGTTACGTGTCTCAGTGTTGTGCAAAGCTTTGTAAGGATAATTGGCTAAAAACTTAGACTGATGGAAAAAAGTGTTCAGAGATTGTTTAAATTACCTCAAATTAAACTGTATCTGAAAAACAGTCCCACTCTGGTGATTTTTGTGCTTTATTTAGGACTTAGGGGAGCCAGGTCTTCAGAATTCTACAACCTGAAAGCAGATTTGTCTGTACCCTTTCTTTTAAAATTTAAAACTGCTTGTTTTTTTTACAAGTTGGGTGGATAGATTTGCACCCCGTTCTTCTGTTCTGGTTCAATT